ATTATAAAAATCAGATACTAATCCATCTTAAAAGTATTATCAAAACTAGATCCTCATTTGAAAAGGCATCGATACTAAAAAAAAGTCCCATTCACAGGACAGGAATGAACCTGAATGTCTTTAGAAAGATCTTGATCTGTATCAGAACAAGTAGAAGAGCACATAGGCTATTATACACACACGGACACTATGAACCTACAGCACCACTGAGGATTACACACACAAAGACACATGGGAGTAGAAAAGAAAGTTCTACCATTTAATGTTGAAAATCACACTTTATTGTCTAAAGAAAATGTGTGTGTGTGTGTGTTTTTAAATATATTATTGTGGTATCAGAATTTGTACTGAGTATTGAAACTATTCCTTATATAGAAATTCAGTTTGAGATTTTATTATCAGGACAACACTATCATCAGGACTGACCGATAGCCCAGATGTCCACCGTCCCTAAACCTGTGCAGATTATTGAGACATCTCCCTCCCTGGTCCCTGCTCAGGACAGCTCACAGTTAAAGTGGAATAGTGTGTGTGTGACTCAGGCCTGACGCAAAGCCTTATCTCCAGTCGGTCCCTGAGACCAAAGTCCAGTTTTTATCAGTGTCTGCAGCCGCGCTCCCTCCTCTGTCCCTCTATCCCTGTCTCACTCTCTGTGTGCAGCCCTGCTGTTCCTGTCCCTCTGTCCTCTGTCCCTCTGTCATCTGTCCCTCTGTCTGTCTGCCCCACTGTCCCTCTCACTATCCACTGTCCTTCACTTGTATGTCTTTCTGGCAATCCATCCTCCATACTCTGTCCCCCTGTCCCCCTGTCCCCTCTGTTCCTCTATCCCCTCTGTTCCTCTGTCCCTCTGTCCCTCTGTCCCTCTTTCCCTTGTCCCTTCTGAAGCAGATCTGTGGTGTTTCCTGTGTTACATCAGTAGCCTCTGTGTTAGAGGATGTGGAGCAGCTTTAACAGAAAAGAACTGCACATGACCAGGGACAGGTGCACAGCGGGGACAGGAGAACATCAGCGGAGACACGTGCAAGGAAGGTGGAGTTGTGTGTCTGTACAAAAACCGGACTAACAGACTGAGCGTCTGCATGGAAGTATGTGGGGGGGGGGTATTCACAACACTGTGGGTTCTCACATCTACACATCATGGGGACCTGATTCTCTTACGGGACAAACACCAGGTCCCCATGATGTTTATTATTAGAGCAACGACCTGGTTTAAGGTTCAGAAGTTCAAATAGGTTATGATTCAGGTTATGGTTAGGGTTGGTGGCATGACCCCACAAAAAACAGAACGTTAAAACAATACTTCAGAAGATTGAAAATAGATACGTTTTATGCCATACTGTGAAATATTACAGCCAAAGGAACAACATTTCCATGGAAACAAGAGAAGGCCACGCCAGAGTCAGGTTTGTGGAGAAGCAAGCCCGCTCACCATAAGGTCACATTTATTTCAGTACAATAAGCAACAAAAATGACTAAAACAAACAAACAAAAAAAAAAAATAAAAACAAAATAACTACATGTATTTATTTTATGTACTTATTTATTTTTGCTATAAAGGTTACATGCTGTGGGTTAAGCAGGTGGCAAATATGGTCATGATCAGGAAATGACTCCAAGTCAATGTAATGTCCCCAAAAAACATGGAAATCCCACATGTGTGTATGCATGTTTGTGTGTGTATTTGTGTGTATGCGTACAGTTGTGTGTGTGTCTATGTGTGCGTGCGCTTGTGTGTGTGTGTGTATGTCTGTGTGTGTATGCTTGTGTGTGTGTATGCGCGTATGCTTGTGTGTGTGCGTATGCGTGTGTGTGTGTGCGTATGCTTGTGTGTGTGTGTATGCGTGTGTGTGTGTGTGTATGTGTGTATGCTTGTGTGTGTGCGTACTCTTGTGTGTGTGTGCGTATGCTTGTGTGTGTGTGTGCGTATGCTTGTGTGTGTGCGTATGCTTGTGTGTGTGTCTGTGTGTGTATGCTTGTGTGTGTGTGCGCGTATGCTTGTATGTGTGCATATGCTTGTGTGTGTGTGTGCGTATGCTTGTGTGTGTGTCTGTGTGTGTATGCTTGTGTGTGTGCGTATGCTTGTGTGTGTGTCTGTGTGTGTATGCTTGTGTGTGTGCGCGTATGCTTGTATGTGTGCATATGCTTGTGTGTGTGTGTGCGTATGCTTGTGTGTGTGTCTGTGTGTGTATGCTTGTGTGTGTGCGTATGCTTGTGTGTGTGTCTGTGTGTACGTATGCTTGTGTGTGTGTGTGTGTGTGTGCGTGCTTGCATATGCTTGTGTGTGTGTGCATGCTTGCGTGTGTGCGTACTCTTGTGTGTGTGTGCGTATGCTTGTGTGTGTGTGTGTGCGTATGCTTGTGTGTGTGCGTATGCTTGTGTGTGTGTCTGTGTGTGTATGCTTGTGTGTGTGCGTATGCTTGTGTGTGTGTCTGTGTGTACGTATGCTTGTGTGTGTGTGTGTGTGTGTGTGTGCGTGCTTGCATATACTTGTGTATGTGTGCATGCTTGCGTGTGTGCGTATGCTTGTGTGTGTGTGTGCGCGTATGCTTGTGTGTGTGTGCGCGTATGCTTGTGTGTGTGTCTGTGTGTACGTATGCTTGTGTGTGTGTATGTGTGTGTGCGTGTGTGCATATGCTTGTGTGTGTGCGTACTCTTGTGTGTGTGTGCGTATGATTGTGTGTGTGTGTGCGAGTATGCTTGTGTGTGTGTCTGTGTGTGTATGCTTGTGTGTGTGTGTGTGTGTGTATGCTTGTGTGTGTGTGCGCGTATGCTTGTGTGTGTGTCTGTGTGTACGTATGCTTGTGTGTGTGTATGTGTGTGTGCGTGCGTGCATATGCTTGTGTGTGTGCGTATGCTTGTGTGTGTGTGTGCGTATGCTTGTGTGTGTGTGTGCGTATGCTTGTGTGTGTGTCTGTGCGTACGTATGCTTGTGTGTGTGTATGTGTGTGTGCGTGCATATGCTTGTGTGTGTGCGTATGCTTGTGTGTGTGTGTGCGCGTATGCTTGTGTGTGTGTCTGTGCGTACGTATGCTTGTGTGTGTGTCTGTGTGTGTATGCTTGTGTGTGTGTGTGTGTGTGTGTCTGTGTGTGTGATGCTTGTGTGTGTGTCTGTGTGTATGTATGCTTGTGTGTGTGTCTGTGTGTACGTATGCTTGTGTGTGTGTGCGCGTATGCTTGTGTGTGTGCGTATGCTTGTGTGTGTGTGTGTGTATGCTTGTGTGTGTGTCTGTGTGTGTGTGTGCGTGCATATGCTTGTGTGTGTGTGCATGCTTGTGTGTGTGTGTGTATGCTTGTATGTGTGTGTGTGCATAGGGGTGTGTGTGTATGTGTGTGTGTATGCTTGTGTGCGTGTTTGTATGCTTGTGTGTGTGTGTGTGTGTTTGTGTGTGTATGTGTGTGCGTGTGTGTGTGTGTGTATGCTTGTGTGTGTGTGTTGGGTGCTTATGTGTGTGCGTGTGTGTGTATGCTTGTGTGTGTGTGTTTGTGTGCTTATGTGTGTGTGTGTGTGTGTATGCTTGTGTGTGTGTGTTTGTGTGCGTATGTGTGTGTGTGTGTGTATGCTTGTGTGTGTGTGTGTGTGTGTGAGAGAGAGTGTGTGTGTGGTGGTGTCCCGGGGCGGGGTGGGGGCCCCTCCCTCTCCTCAGGTCTGAGTAAACACAACTGCTCCAGGATCCAGGATGCAGCGGCTCATTTGCATTGCACTCAGTCTCCAAGCAGCTCCACCCTACAGCACCCAATAGCACCCATAATCATACATCAGCACCCACCAGCAATGATTAGCACCCACCTGTGCCTACCCGCCTGCATCCACCAGCATCCACCTACACCCAATAGCACCCAGCAGCACTCATAATAATCACTACTGATTACTTTTCTCTAAAAGTAATCTAGGTACTACTCTGGTTACTTTATTTCAGTAATTTCACTACTGATTACTATAAGTTACTCTGAAGAAAAATAAGCAACTTGTGTGTGTGTCTGAGTATGTGTGTGAGTGAGATGTGTGTGTGTGGGACATGTGTGTGTGTTATGTGTGTGTGCGTGGGTGTGTGTGTGTGCGTGCGTGTGTGTGAGTGGGACGTGTGTGTGTGTGTGTCTGTGAGTGGGACGTGTGTGTGTGTGTGTGTGTCTATGAGAGTGGAAAGTGTGTGTTTGTGTATGTTATGTGTGTGTGTGAGTGGGACATGGGACGTGTGTGCGTGTGTGTCCGTACTGCACTGGAAGTGGGTCACTTGTGGGTCACTTGTGGTCACTTGTGGGTCACTTGTGGGTCACTCTATCACACTCCTCACAAAGGCCCAGACTGTATCTGGGTCATGTGACTGTCCCGGCCAATCGCAGTGCAGCTTCAGCCTCCACCTGAGCACCATATCAGCCCCTTATCTCCAGTTCAGGGGCCACTGAGAGAGCAGTGTGTCGGCCCCTGGAGCCTGGGCTGGAGCAGGCTGGGGCCCCGCTCAGAGGGGTCTGTCATAATGACAGTAACCCCCACCACCCCCCACCCCACCCGCCCACCCCTTCTTCTGTACCATACATTTTAATGAGATAAGACAACATTCAAACTCCCAAACACATGTTAGGTCCCGGGCCATGAGCAGTGGCCCTTGAGCCCCACTGTATGTAAATGAGCCCTTCTCACTGTATTCAGAGCATAGACTGTATAAAGAAGTGGAGTAAGCGAGTGTGATGTCACCACAGCATTCGGTTACAGGAGTGAATTTGGAAACAGGCTCTGTATTAGGAATAGGATCAGGTAGAGCAAGTTAATACGAACATTTTTAAGACCAAAATGACGAGGTTCACAGCAGCAGGTACAGAGAGATAACAAATAATAACACTTTTCCAATGTAAGTCAATGGGAGCCACAGTCAGAAGGAGCCAGAAGAGCCACATACAAACGTCCTATTTGTAATGAAGCGACCAGCACCTGAGCTCTCTCCATTTACAATACAGTTTATGATTCAAAGTCAAAGTCAATCTAATCACACAGGACACATAGGGACTATTAAATAACTTTATTCTTCGTATTGAGAAAATAAACATTTTCACGTGAAAAGTATAAAATGACAGAAGTGGTTCAGAAGCATTCCAAGCTGAAGGACAAAAGGCTCCAGTCTGAGTCCAGACATTGCAGACGCAGATAAATACATACAAAAGTCTAAAGATACAAAAGTGACCGAGTTGAAATGTGGAAGGCATTTTGATGAGTAACACGGGCCCCGCGTGAGCAGGCTGTAACACGGGCCCCGCGTGAGCAGGCTGTAACACGGGCCCCGCGTGAGCAGGCTGTAACACGGGCTGCCGACGTAACAACAGCAGTAACACCACAGTAACCAGGCTCTACAGCCCAGCAGGCTGCACATATATTAGCTCTCCCTTATAAATAAGACATCCTCTCCCCTCATATGTACATCTATACACACCACTGTCCACACACTGACCATTAGGAGGCATTCAGCACCGAACGGCTGTACAGCGTCTGGTAGTAGGCCCCTGAGTCCATGGCTGCGGCCCCGGGGCTGTCATACACCGGTTTGGCCCCCACTGGAGAGGCCCCTCCGTAGCCGTAGCCCATGACCTGCTCCTGGTAGCTTTTGAGCTCCATCTTCTGCTCACTGGACATGAGGTTGGTGATGGAGAAAGGGTGGTTGAAGTTGTAATGAGGGTCCAGTGACTTGAGATCGCTGTGAAGATCCAGGTGCTGCTGCATGGCCCCCGGGAGCAGGCCCCCCTGATGCAACAGAGAGGAGGACAGGCCCATAGGGGGTGACGCCGAGCTGGGGGGGTGCAGGTGTGAGCCGGGCATAGGGGGACAGTCCATAGATCCCAGAGAGGAGCGGTGCAAGGTGGGTTCCTCAGACGCAGAGCCTGGGTGAGAGCTGTCTGAGTGGGCCGAATCGGGCTCGTCTGAGGCCCGCGTGGGGCTGTGCTCCTCAGGCTCAGCTCGGGGGCCTTTGGAGGAGCCCTCCTGGTTCTTGGAGGCCTTCTTAGCTGCCTTCTCCTCAATTTTAAAGCGCTTCTGGCGCCGCAAGTAACAGCCGTTCTCAAACATGTTTCCGGACTGGGGGTGCAGGGTCCAGTAGGAGCCTTTGCCAGGCTTGTCAGGCGAGCGGGCCACTTTGACAAAGCAGTCGTTGAAGGAGAGAGAGTGGCGGATGGAGTTCTGCCAGCGCTGCTGATTGTCACGGTAATAAGGGAACAGGTCCATGATCCACTGGTAGATCTCGTTGAGAGTGAGCATTTTGCTGTTGCTCTGCTGGATGGCCATAGTGATGAGTGAGATGTAGGAGTAGGGCGGTTTGGCGTGGGTCAGGGAGCGCCGGTAGGGTTTGGGCGGAGCTTCTTTGGGACTGCGGCTCATAGTAGCGGTGGAAGGATAGCCCAGTTGGCTCATGGACTGGCCCACGTTCTGATAATGTGACATGGAGCCCAGAGCCGGGGCCGTGGAGCCCAGCTGCGTGAGAGGAGCCGAGCTGACCGGAGACAGGGACATGTGCGCAGGCCCCTGGCTCATGGAGCCCAGAGGGGAGCTGCTCAGGGCCGGGCTGGGGTAGGCCATGTTAAGGCTGGGGGCCGTGTTCAGGTTGATGTAACTGTTGATGGGGCCCATGGAGCCCATGGAGCCCAGAGACGTCATGGAGGAGGGGGACGGGTACATCTGAAAGCACAGCCACAAGTTAGACTCATAGTCACACACAAATATTCAGACTTATTTGAAAGTAGCAGGTTTAACACCGATTCATATATCGTACATTTATAACATATTCTAGGACGTATTCTAGAATATAGGATACTCTATATTACACTCTGCAAATAGACTAGTCTCTGTGCTGTGCATATTTTTCACAGAGGGAAGAGAGGCTCTGAGACGCAGTTCAAATCTGTTATGAATGCACAATGAGGCCTCAGTGCGGGAGCTTCGCACGGCCGTGTTAACCTGAAAATGCGTAAAAAGCGCGTCAGATGCAAACACAGACGGCCTCTGAGGATCTGAACCGAGGGCACGAAAATACGGCAAATCGCCACGTATGTCCACACTATTTCTGTCGTTATATTTGTTTATTATACATTTAAAGGAGTTTAAATCTTTAAAAATGAACAGTCTTTGGTGGTTGAGTCAGGAGAACCCTCTGGCTCGCGGGCAGACGCAGCGGGCGCTCCGTGTTAATTGGATCAGAACAGGTGAGCTGATATGATGAGATTATCTCCAGTGAGAATGATCAGGTTAACGCGGCACGGACACGAGACACAGGCCTCGGGCCTCGCGCTCTCAGCAGTGCGTAAAACACGCACCGCTTTATTACGCTCTAAATATGTGCTGTTACTAACATGATTATTATTATTGCTATCAATAATAATAATAATAATAATAATAATAATAATAATAATAATAATAATAATATAATATGATTATTATTATTATTATTCCTTGCATTACAGAATAATAAATAATAAACCTATTTTTAATGATAGCAAACACATGTTAAATGTCAGCCTGTGTGACAGAGAACAGTCCCTGAGCCTCCAGTCTTACCTCGCTGGCTTCGCTGTAGAAAGTATTCCACTCAGGCAGATCGTGGCTCTCCATCTTCACGGAGCTCAACATCCCCGAGGCCTGTGTCCGATCGCCTGTCGCGGGTCTAAAGGTCCGGCTCTGTGGTAACAGTCTCCTCACAGCGGGTCGGAAGCTCCGGCTCTCTGGTAACAGTCTCCTCACAGCGCGGCTCTAATCCAGGGCCAAGTCAGAGCGCGTCCATGGCCCAGTGCCTTTCGGCTCGTTCGCTACTCGGCTCTCTCGCTCAGTCGCAGTTTGGAAGTGTGTCTCTCCCTCACAAGTGGAGACCTGTGGCTGTGTACGTCGAGAACCTGGTGCGCACCGTTTATAAGGCGCCACACTAAGGCCCCGCCCCCGGAGTGATACAGGAAAGGCCCGGGGGAATGGCACCGGCAGCCCCCTGGTGAGCTGTATATTGGCCGGCGGCTGCAGAGGGCCACCCTGGGAGCCCCAGTTCTGTCCAGCGGCTCTTTAGCACAGTTCATCATGAGGCAATTACTGTTAGGCCTATTACTGCCACAGAGGGGACAGGACAATCCGTGGATAATTTGTGCGTAATCACGCAAGCACCAAGCGGAGTGTGTAGGTTACAAATATTTCAAATCATTTTCAAAGACTCATACCAAATTTATTTTACAAAATGTATTGGGCAGATAATACTCTCTTACATTTACTTAGGAAATTGTACTTTCCAGAGTACTTTTCTGGTAGCATACTTTTACTCCTACTTGAGATTTTTTATTTATTTATTTATATATATTTTTTTAAATTGAAATAACAGTACTTTTACTTGAGTAAAAGTTGTGCTTCCTCTTCCCACTGTGAGTAAGTCTAAAGTGACAAAATCTTTATGTGACAATATGAAATGATTTGAACGTTTGTGTTTGTTGCGGCTCCTTCACATCTGATTTAGTTTGTCTAATTTTTGTGTCTGTCTTTTGAAAACACCAGATTTTGTGGATTATTTCATGTTTTGCCCTTCACATTACATTCAATTACTGTTATTTGAGTAGTATTTTGCCCAAATAATATTTTACTCTTACGTGAGTAATATTTTAACTCTTACTTAAGTACAGTTTTGGCTACTCTGCCTACTTTGTTGAACACAATGAAACACAAAACACAAATGTTCAAATAATTTCATCTTGTCACATAAAAATTTTGTCACTTTAGACTTACTCACAGTGGGAAGAAGAAGCACAACTTTTACTCAAGTAAAAAAATACTGTTACTTCAATAAAACACTCAAATAAGAGTACGCCACAGTATGCCATAATTTCCTTCAAAAGTTACTCAAGTAAATGTGACTGAGTATCGACCTCTGTTTAAGGGAGATCAGCGTGACGCAGGTGACACAGGCCTATGCATTTTCTGGACTTCTCGCGTCTCTAACTGTGTCGTTAAGGGATGAGTCTCAAAACGCACGGCTGACAGGTTCGGTACTGAAGGAGGTCGTTGGTCCCGGGGGCGTGTGAAAGGGTCGGTGTGTAGTCGGCCCTGCCTGGAGCGCTGCGAGGCGTCAAAGTCGTTAATTCTCCCGGCTATCACTTCGGCACTAATTGTAGCCGCCTTAGATTGGTGGTACTGATAAACAAATACAAGATCAGAGCTTCTGATTACAGGCAAATGAGTCAAACTCAGAGGGCTGCACTCTCAGACACGGAGGGTCTACGCTGTTCAGTTTGATTCAGTACTGAGTTTAAGAGGCATTTCAACGAAGTAGCCATGCAGCAATAAATTACGGTATTGTTTGAAAATAAAGACTGGTGGGGTATAGGCCGACCCGCTGCAGCTTAGGTATAGAAATATGGATAGGCCTAATCAGGGTCAACGTTTATGCATTTTCGTTTTGCACATCATATCAGATGATATGGCTCGTGGCCCTCGCGGATTTAACTGTCGCAAAAGTAACTATGAACGGCACTATTATATTGTGGCTTCGAATTGAACGCGGTCCGAAGCGTGTGTAATGCCACAGTGGGAGCGCGTAATGGGTAAGTGTCATGGGCCCCGGGAATACACACTCGCGGCCGACTGCAGACGGGGATCCCTGAATGTCAAAGACCCGCCTAATGGCCTCTGAATGGACATGTAACTGATGTGCAGGCGGGAGGTCCAGGACCAGACTGTGAGAACGGGCACCTGGAGAAATAACAGGAAGGAACCGTGCGCGCACGCGCAACGTGATTCGGACGGTACATGCTCCGGCCTCGCTCTCGTTTGGACGCAGACGTGTGCAGGTTTAGTCCTAGTTTAGACCAGAACTGATTGATGCTTAGTGGTCTTCGTTTGGATCAGGTTCAGACTTAGTTAGGTCTCAGTTTAGTCCTAGTCCTGAGTTTTTAAGATGCCCATTTAGTCCAGCTTTGGCCTTGGTTTGGTCTTGATCATCACGGGTTGAGTGTCAGAGTTGTTTTAGAGACCCGGTGTAGTCCCGCTTTAGTCCCCACATCCCAAAACATAAAGACAAATGTGGAGCTCCGGACTCGCGAGGTCTCTGACGCGTAAGAACAAATGCCAAAACAATCTAACACATGCACGGGCACATGGGCACGCTTTGTGCCCGCGCACTGGCGGCCAAACAGCACTGGCGGCCTCTGCCGCCTCTCCTTCACAAAACCACGAGCTCAGCCACGGTTCCAGCCCGGGACATGGGACGGGCCTTCCGTGGTTTGGGGGGTTCATGATGCGTAAAGGCCGGTACTGAGAGTCGATTAGCGCGCACAGGTGTGGCACTTGCATGAGTAATAAGGTCATTAATGGAAGGCTTCTGGGTGAAAATGCGCGCACGCCCTCATATTTAGTTATATTGTCCATGGGCATTTGGACATTTTCTTGATAATTTCTTCTATTACCTGTAGACTTGAGACAAAATCATACTTTATTTTTAGTCAGAATGTCTTTAGAACACGAGGAGGTGCAGTAGGTGCTGTTCACACTGGATCTCTGCACAGACCGTTTCTCACGTGTTATTCCCGTTTGAAGGCGCCGTCATTTGCGTCTTTTTCTTGATGGATGTGACGTGAGTGAGAGCGCAGCGAGCTGATGTCTGTCCCGAGCGGAAAGCCTGGTTGTGGATTAGAGGTCGCACGCGTTGTGCGTGTCCTACGCGGGCCGAGGTTCATCGATTAGCAATTAACACCTGAGAAGGACTCAACAATGGCCCTAATGAGGCACTACTCATGAAGGAAGCGGGGCATCGCATTTAGGCCTGGGAACTGTTACACTTAGTTAAAGAAGATTAACTAATCTTATTATCAGAAGGCCAAAGTGAAAGGCCCCGTGAGAGAGCCAAAGAGCGGGCAGCGAGGCTGCAGAGATAGACGAATGGAGAGCGCTCTCTTGTGGACTGATCAGGGAAATGGCCAAGAAGCTCAAGACTTTTTCAGACCGTTCATAACTTGTAACAGCTAACAAATGATTATAATAAAAGAATTTCAATGACCAGAAGATCTACTCATTTGCATAAAGGGAGGGTAGACCAACTGTTACAGATACCAACTCACTGTCACTGATTTATTCTTACAGAAACATGGTTGATTATGTTATAATTTGGTGTTTTGATTCTGAAAATATTCAGTAGCAATGACAACACCACGATGGAATATGATAAAAAATATTTACCCCCAACCTCCTTTTGCAGATGATGTCTTCAGGCTGAGGGTGAACGAGAGACACGGGGCGTGACATAAAGAGTCAGTGGATCTGACCACTCAACCAATAGTGTTTTTTATGTCAAGAGCAAGAATCGAACCACCAACCAACATTTCACATGTGGTCAGTCCAAAACTTTGAATAAATCTGACTCTTGGCCTGGAGGAAAGTCTTCTCCTGCTTGTTTCCAAGGAAATGTTGTTCTTTTGGCTATAATGTTCCACAGTACAGCATAAAACTTCATCTCCATGGAAAATGTTGTTCCAGATGAGTCTGGTTAGGATGGTGACGACCTCCCCCTGCATTTTGGGAGTTATACAGCAGACAGCACTCTCCGCTGTTCTGCGCTGAGGCAGCCCCAAGCAAACCTGATGAGTCTCAGTATGAGCAGTTTGCACACAGCCAGTGGTCACCAGCTGGAGCCTCTGTCCCTCACACACCTCCACACTTATGGACACTACTGTTCTAACGGTAAACAGGAGGCAAGAGGTCCTGCGTGAGGGAGCAGAGCCAGGCTGGTCTGCCCCGGAGAAGGTTTATTCCTCATTTAGATCGTATATGAACCTGTCAAAGCACACCAAGCACGTCACTGAGCAGAGCCACTGAGCACAGCAGCCACATCATCTGACCCTCGTCCTGCAGGGAACTGCAGACCCTCTGCTCATTACAGAGAAGCACCTGGACCCAAACCCCACCCAAACCCCGCCCCAAACCCCACCCAAACCAAGACTAAACCCCACCCAAACCCAGCCCAGACCCAACATAAACCCCGCCCAAACCAAGACCAAACACCACCCAATCCCCGCCCAAACCCGACCTAAACCCCACCCAAACCTGTCCATGCAAAATCAGCTGAGAACTCCAGATCTAACATGTAAAGGCACTTTGCAAAAGTGAGCATGAATATGAGACCATGAGACACATATTTGTAAATGATCATTTAAGGAGATAAAGATAAGATAAAGATCCATCTTTATTTGATTACACTTAGAAAAGTATTGACATATTTGATAGTATTAAATGAAAATCCTCAGCGGCTTTGGACAAGGCCCTTGAAGAAATCGATTGTTTTTGGATCCTTTAGTTTGGACTAAAGTGACCTTTGGTTAAACCTGTGCTTCTGTCTGACTGGACTCACACCACTGTTCTCACCAGCTCCATCCCTGCACATTTAACTGAATGCAATCAATGTGAAATGTGATGTTTGAATGAGAACACATTCTGTCTGTGCTAGAACCTCTCACCAACTACCGTTTAATGACAACGCTAACAGTGTGAGCCCCACAGCCTCCTCAGGGTCCAGGGAGGCTACTATGTTTCCCTGGTCTGTGCTCCCCTGACCTCCACCCTGAGCATATCTCACAAAGCTGGAGCTAAATGGGTGTGATTACAAGGGTGAGCTCAGGGTTCAGAGCACAGGCCTGGCTGCTTCTGGAGGGGTTCATACACAAGCTGAAAATGACACATGAGTCTGAAATGAATGCTTGCATATTGGGCGGGCGATTGCACATACAGCTACCATTCTGTGGGTTCCATGGTACTTGGCCTGTAGGTGTGGTGGGTACATTCTGTGGGTTCCATGGTACTTGGCCTATAGATGTGGTGGTACATTTAGGTTAAGTGCAACCAGCACAGCACAACATTCAGCTTACAACTTACACTCAATGCTAGGTTACATTTACTCAGAGATGTCCAAAAGACACTGTCCACTGGTTTACAATGAGACCTTCCACACAAGGGACCCCACAGTCAGGGGGTCAATGATGCTGGTCCCAAAGCAGCAGAGCCAATACTGCAGACCAGCTCAGACCAGGGACAGGCTGAGACCAGAGTGGGAGCCAAAGACAAGCCATCATTTTCTCTATGTTCAGTTACTAAAGAAATTAACAACCCCAACTATAAAAGGAAAGAAAAATATTTCTGTGGACAAAAAGTCCAAATGCCAAATCTTAGACAAATATCTATGTCTGTGTAACCATGACAACACAAAAGCAAAACATGCTCCAAGATCGGCCCAAACTTTCTTGGAATTGTGGATTTAAGATCAGTTGGGTACATTTCACGTATGCCCTCAGTAAAAGGACTAGAGTTAGGGAGGGGGATTACCATGGACAGGCATTTCTGACTTTAATTTCCACAACACTGCTCCTTGCATTGTCCTAACAACTGGTCATTATCAGAGACCAGGGAATGAGTTTGCCATCAGCAGTTACAGAGAAGGGCAAAGTTCTTCAACTGAATTTAACCTTTTTTAATAGAAGGCAAATAGAACCAAGCCCAGACTCCAACATGGAACGGTGGAACAAGCAGGCTCGCTATGTCCATTTCTATATACATATAGATGGATTTATATAGTGTATATACAGTGTATGGTTGTACAGGGCTGATGATAGAACACGTTCTGCTCTTGTGTTGTGCGCACTACAGGGCTCTGATGATAGAACACATTTTGCTCTTGTGTAGAAGTGTGCAGAGGTCAGAGGTGTGATGTGATGGGTCAGGATAGAGGAGCTGGCCGTGGCTCTGAAGGCTGTGTCCTGTGCTGGTTCTTCTGACCGCTCCTGTGCTGCTGTGAGGAGACAGACACACAGACATTAAATACACAGCCTCCCTCCACATACAGTATTAAAGTACTACAGGTGTGTACAGCATACACCTGTATACAGAGCACGCACCTGTCTCACGTCTCTCGCTCCTTCTTGACAGTGACATCTCCAGCACTGGCCCCGGGTCCTCCCCCAGGAGCCGGGCTGGGGCCAGGGGGTGGGGCAGCAGCAGGGATGGAGGCGGCCCCTGCCCCGGCTGAGCCCAGGATGGTGGTGACTTCTCCCTGCATGAATGCCCAGGGGGGGCTGTTGGGAGTGTTATCCAGCGGACAGCGCTCTCCGCTGGGGCAATACACCTCCCCGTCTGCCCTGCGGCTCTGGATGTAGATGCGTGTGCAGGGAAAGCAGAACCTGCACACAGTACATGTGTTAGAGCACATTCTCCTCTTCTGTTCAAACTAATAAGAATGAAAAGTACTTACTAGTTCACTTTTTCACTTAGATTTGAATATTTGATTTTGACACATCATTTTGAAAAAAAACAATTTGTCTACATCAGTCAGATCAAGGATCAGGTATGTTTATTATTATTACTCATACCAAGTGAGATTGGACCCTTGTCTTTGGGATTGTAGTAAGAATGTAAAGAGCATTGATGTTTCATGTGCTGAAGTGTTGTGTTTGTTGTGTAGTTGTGACCATATATAGACCCACCTGTGTCCTTGAACAGAGGGGCACTGCACAAAATGGGTGTCCTCGAGGCGCTCGTGGCACAGGGTGCAGGACAGTGTGTTTCCAGCGGAGTGGCTGCTGCCGGACGCAGAGCCCAGCTCGGAGGCTCCTCCGTGGGGTAAGGCTGGAGCGGTGTTGGCCGCCTCTACAGACGCGCTGGAGCTCAGAGGCTCTCCTCCGGGCCGAGTGGCCAGGGGACGAGGCTGTCTTGCGGGAGAAGATGCAGGCTTGGGGCTGGTCTGGCTCGCGCCCCCTGCCATGGCTGAAGCAGTCAAGGGGAGACCTGTGGTTTTACTGCCGCCGCTGCCCGCCACCGCTGAGTGGATGGGCGTCTGGGACTTGGACTGGCTCAGTTCGCGCTCCAGCTCCTGGGAGATGAACGGTCCTATGCCCATGCCGATGCCCAGCTGTCTGCGGCTCATCTCGGCCAGCACAGGGGCGGGAAAGATCATTGGGTTGCTTATGGGGGCTTGTCTGGCAGCCAGACCTGCCGGCAGTAGCCCGGGGGGTAT